AAGTATTCAAAGCGAATACCGCTAGTCATTGGACTTACTAGCGTAGGTGAAAAGGTAAACAATGTTTATGTGAGGAAATAATTTCATTCTATTGACTGATGGTCTGTAGCTCATTCCTACCTGCTAATTCTTGATTTTCATCGGGAGGTTTGTCGCGTAAACAATGCTCACATTAACTGTATTATTTTTTAAATGTACAGATGTTTTTCCTGTCAACGTACACAACACCACATTTATGTATATTTATCCAGTTGTGTATATCTGTCGTTACCTAGTTTCCTACCTTTTCCCATTGAACAGTATCAAAACGTTTGTCCTTGCATGTGCCAACTGAATGATATTACAGTGTGATTTCATCATTGGGTATTTGTAAACGGTAACATTTTTATGGATAATATCATTAAGATATACTTCTTTCCTTGCCATCACCATTACAGTTTTTTTCTGCTAATACTAACCTTCAATTTATTATTGGTTTTTACTACTTCTTGTTCTCATTAGCCGCTCTATAGCTTAATGTGTAAAGACAGCTTTTTCCCCTTTCCAGATAATTTTTAGTTAACTAACTGGGTCTATAAATTCAGTGTCAATAAGTAGGTAACGCTACATTTCATCAATAATTTCCCCAACTTTTAAGAAAGACTATTTACTATTTGTATTTATTCTAGTGCGAACTTAAGGAAGAAAATGCATCTACAATGAAGATAGTTTTTCTTGTTTTCTATAAAATTCGTTTTTAAGGCGCCTTCCCAATGATTATTAGAACTTCAGAACTTTTCTGCCACTACTTGTTTTGTTTTATGTTATTGTTGTTTGTTGTAAGCTTTTAGTGATAATGTTTTATATCTCTTTTCAACATATGTCTAAATGTTTATTCTATTTTTCAAACTGTTCTTTCTGAGCCATTATGTCATCCTGTCTTAAATCTGTGTGTGAGGGGGTCAAAGTGCACAAGCCATGAACTTTTACAGAGTACCATTCAGTAAAGTATTATGTATCTTATATTCAGAGTTATCAACTATTCGTTTTACCCTCCATTGGTTATTGAGTAATAGTTCGTGGTAGAAGAGAGAAAGTATCAGATACAGTATACAGGAATACTGTAAAAAATTTTAGATATGTATTTCGAAGGTTCTAGAAGTTATGCAAATGCAATATACAAACTATATGATGAACAAAAGTATTTTTAGTTTTCACGTGCACATCACCTTGCACTCTACCTTGTCCATTTTACTAAAAGCTAGCCACATTTTGTTTAGATACACATAACAAATTCGAAATTATTGTCCACACCATCAAAACACTACTTAATAATGGTAAACAGTTGAAAATATACTAAGCTTTTATATTACAGCTTATAACAAGTTATTTGGAAACCTTTAATGCAATATTGTTCAAATTTTGCAGTAACATGATAATTCACAACGAAATAGATATCAATTGTACGCATTATTGATTTTAAATAGGTTGCAAAATTCTCAAGGTTCGTTAAACTCAACCGTTTTAATAGTCGTTTGTTTGAAACTTTCATCTTGACATTACGGTTTGACTTGAAATTTAGAGATACTTGAGTATAACGAATGCCAAACTCATGTTTCAATGTATAATGCTTGAGGTCATATAATTTATATAAAGCTTTGAAAACATTGGAGTGATACTATGTGCGTATATTTAACGAAAGGTATACTTGATAAATCTTGTTTATTTTGCTATTTGATTCTCCACAGATTGTGATTTAAAACTCATTAGTTGTCAAACAATCTGTTAAATCTCAACGCTTGACATTAGAAAAACAAGTGTGGAAAACCAGATTACTGGAAAAGTCAGATTTATCTCGGTTGCCAGCACTAATGAAAAAAAAGGTGGATTGAGAGCTAAGGAATACAGTCTGCACTTCACCAAACATAACTTACCTGAGAACTTGATGAAAAGACTGATTTCTTCCACAAGTAGATAGATACAGTAACGTCAACATGACAACATTCCGAAGAATTAAAAGAACAAACTAAAAAACACATTCAAACTGTCGTCTTCCTGGTGCAAATAGAAATCCAAGAAAATAAATGATGAGTGGTGAATTAGTAAAGGCAATTGCAAAGCGCAGATAGTCAGGATTATTTAAATATATAAGACAGTTTATTCTGTAATTAATGTTTTGAAGAATAGTTTCTGTGAGAATTTACATATAAGAACATTCACCACCAGAAAGTAAATATATATAAAAATAACAATTTTTTTTAGATATTCATATGCAATTAAAAATATATTTAAATATACAATTACAGAATAAGTAGAAGCAAATCAGAAATTTTTCTTCAAACGAAAGCATATCAAATAAGTTCGAGAAACCAACTTAAAAGACGTAATATAAACCACGGTGGCTGGTGGCTGTATTGATGTAAATGATAAAAGCTCATTATTTTGGATGAATAAGATATAATTACAAGCTGTTATAGTTTATGGATTCGTGTATGTGGTGTAATATGTGGATAACCAGTAGCAGGATGAAATATTTCAAGATTCAAGGCCCTATATCTTCACCATCGGCCCGTCATGGCCAGGTGGTTAGAGCGTTTGACTCGCAATCTGAGGGTCGCGGGTTCGAATCCCCGTCTCGCCAAATATGCTCGCCCTTTCAACCGTGGGGGCGTTATAATGTACGGTCAATCCCACTAAAAAAAAGAGTAACCCAAAAGTTGGCGGTGGGGTTGATGACTAGCTGACTTCCATGTGCTAAATTGGGGACGGCTAGCTCATATAAGCAGCGACCATATTGCATGTGTATAAATGTCAGGTTCTTTATATAGTTAACCTGTTAGAGCAGCAGTAGAGCACTGCGGTTAGCATGATTACACTTTTTAGGATGAGTGGACTGTCTTCGTGATATATGTTCTTTCATGAGCTTTTTAAACATATGCAAGGAGAAATGTACCAGTTCATAAACAACAAATTATCTATTTACCATTAATCACTTGACATAAAATTCACATCACTATAATATATGGTGAATGACACCGACAAAACATAGCCGTATGGACATAATGTGGATCAGTCATTGCTCTAAAATTCAGTTACAGAAAACGATTAAATATTGAAAGGACGAGGTAACTTGACTCACATCTTAACATTAAGCTCTATAGTTCTACTCGATATTGGTCAGTTGAATTTACGAAGAAGATTTTATGAAAAATATTTTATTGATATATTATTCGCCAAAGTCTCTAAAGTGAAGCCAGCGGGGTTTAGCACGTTTGCTGTCCAGTAAGCGTCAGAGATAAGAAGCCAAGCAAGAAAGAAAATGTTTGGCTGGTAGTGTTAAATCTATCTTTCAAATTTTGGCTAGACCAATAATAATAATAATAAAAAGATGGCACTACGGTAGGCAGTTTAATTCCTGGATAACGTGTACGTGACGCACATAAACTAATCTCCCGGACACAGTGTCTCGTCAAACCAATGGGGGAGACAAAAAATATTTTCGTATCAGTTGACTGAAGGATGAAATTCCAAATATTGTATTTGAATAATCCATCATTACCTGTAATGTATAACAAAGTAACTCTTGAATGTTTAATAGATAAAAGAACAGTTAACTTTACGTAGAATGGTTTGCTTGTTTGTTCCAAAAGTTTCGTACAAAGTTCTACATACCCGTCTTTAATTTTTAACTGATAGATTAGAAGTAAGGTAGCTAGTCAACATCACCCATCGTAAACTCTTGAGCTTCTATTGTCTTACAGTTTGTTTTTGGAATTTCACTCAAAGCTACTCGAAGGCTATTTGTGTCAGCCGTCCCTAATTTAGAAATGATAGATTAGAGGGAAGACAGCTAGTCAATACCATCAACAGCTAATTCTTGGGCTACTCATTTATCAACGAAAAATGGGATTGACTGCCACATTATAACGCCCCAACAGCTGATAGAACGAGGAACGATGACGGGATTCGAACTCATGACCTGCTAATTGCGAGTTGAGCGCCCTATCGACCAGGTCATATGTCTAACAGAATAGTGCTATTTTATTGTTACCATTATATCCCAACTACGACCCACTTGTTTTTGCTGCAAAGAGATGCGAACCATGGATACTTAGATTTACATTTCGATACGCTTATCACCAGGCCATGCCTGACCCATGTAAGAGGTAAAGTTAATCCAGATATCCTACAGTATTTAAAGTCGAAAGAAAATTCACAGTTCCCTCTTCTTCAAAAGAACTGTTTTTAAAATATGAGAATTTGAAACACTTTTTTCATTTTTTAGCAGGTCTACTTCTATAACATGGAGCGTTTTGATAAAAACAATTTTTAGAATGTCGTTTGAACTAATGTACACATTTTGTTAATAGGGAGTTAATAGGGTCTATATTTTTGTCAATCTGCATTATTTGAATTTTCTAAGTTTATATAAAAGCGTCAAAGTTATTTATGTATTTCAGCTATTTTTCTCGTATTGAAGCGGCTTTTAGTAGTTTATCTGAATATTGTACTGAAATAGTTTGTTATATTTCTTCATATACAGATTGGTGAATATTAGCTGACTTCTTTTCTCTCTTATCAGTGGCTTGTTTTCTTTAAAAAATTCAAACTTTCTTATGGTAGCATAAAATTAAGGACGGTTTGTTTATATATTTTGAAGATATTTCTTGTACTTCTGAGTTAATATAACATTCTTTTAACTGCATTTGTCATATAATTTTGAGAAAAGTGATATGTTTCAATTCACATTATATTTAGTCTCTTATTATAAGACGAGACTGAAACGCATAGACGCATTAATATCAATTAGCAACACCAGTTACGAAGATAATTTTGCACATGATGTACCTATTTTGGGTGTGTGTTTACAGTGCAATGTGATATTCGAAGAGAACTACGTAGTCCCAAAATCAATACAAGTAACATATTTAGAAGAATTAGTGAAAACTCTATTAGGTGTACGAACTAAATTGACCATTACTTTAAAACTTTTACCTAAAATACGTTTTGTTGTTTTTCAGCTGGAAACACCACTATTGGCAAACTGCAATCTGTCCACCGTATGGAATAGAACCCCGGATTTAAGCGTTGTAAACTCGACGACTTACCGCTGATCCACCTGATAATAGCTAAAAATAAATAAAGGTATGTTGACTGTTCTTTATATGACCACAAATGAGAAAATTATTCATTACAATATTTGGAAATGTTATTTTTTACTTAAGCAGTAACCATTGATAGTTTAAGCAGAACGTACTTTTTGGGATATTCTTTCAAACTGGTATTATTCCCTAATATAAAAAAATATTTCAAGTGAAAAACCTTTTTTTTCCCTTCAGTTAAAGTGAGATAAATGTTTGGGAAACGACGGACGATTGTTTATGAAACAACCTACTTGAACAGGATGAATGTGTTTTTTGTTTTTTAATATTTAATACAACTAGTGTAGTGAATAACGAAACAGGTTATCGTAAACAACTGCGACAGTTTGGCATTTCGGCTTGAGAAATGGCTTTCTTTGTGTAACAGTAAATCTTCGACTTTTTACATACGGTACGTGGTGATATTTTGGCTTTTATCCTTGGTAATAACTGTTATATATTTATAAAAGTTTAAGGGCGTGTATCAGATTTTGTGTTTTGTTGCTAATCCATCTCAAACATATAACAAAATTAAAATATAAAATGAGAAGAGGAATGTTGAGAAAATTCAACCACAGTTTAAAATATCGACACATCATCAGCCCCAGAGTGCTTCAGTGGTATATCTGCGGATTTATAACCTGATTTCTACAAGCCAGTTCCCTTGGCTGTGGTTTTGCTAGATACTCGTGCTGGAAAGAGCACAGATCGTCCATTGTGTAGCATTGTGCTTAACTACTAAGAAACAAAAACCATCATCAACTTTGTACTGTGTGTTTGTTTATTTTCTAGACTTTTACATTAAATATTACGAGTTTATATTCCATATACTGGTATATACGTAAGAAGTATCAGTGAAAATGGTACTTCTATCTAGAGTGTAAAGTGTGATTTACAAACTATCTCCCGCTCTTTCATCATTATTATCATACGATGTTCAACTATTATAAGTTAATTGATATTTTCTGCCTCACCGTTACATATTTAATGACTATATATTTCTTTCTTTTATGGTTTTATATTGTGGAATCACCTTTTTCATTTTTATATAAGACAAAAAGACACAACATAGCTTTGATGATCAAGTTTTACACTGATGTTCTTTTTATCGCACAGATAAAGTCCATTCTCATGAATATAATTAAAATGTAATAGTTCCGATAACTTCGTTTATCGCCCCCAGTGGCACAGCGGTATGTTTGCGTAGTTACAACGCTAAAAACCGGCTTTTGATACCCATTGTGTAGTTTTGTGCTTAACTTCAAACAAACAAACAAAAACTTCTTTTATTTTGTAGAGAGGTTTAAATTGGTATTTAAGTAGACGACTCACTACGTAATGGAATACAACCGTTTTAATAGCTACACACACACACACACACACACACAAATATATATATATATATGTATAGCAAAATATTCATAGGCGTAGAAAGTTCTTTATTATGTAGTCGCTCGAATAAACATTTTAGAAAACTTCGAAAAAGGCACATTATCAACTCCCCAGCATGTTACTCTTTAAATGAATGTAAGTATGCTTGTTGGAAAACTTCATTACGATATTCACTTCACTTGTAGCTCTTCCATACTATATGTATAGATATTTAAGACTCTTGAATATTCGCAGAAAAAATTATGGGATACCTGACCCGATTACTTTTGTTATCGTGATGGTCGCCGCGTTTGATAATTATTAATGTACTCATTCAAAGCGATTCGATTAAACTGCATGCATTACTCTTTGCTAAGGCAATAACTTCTACTGCAAAAACGAGAGTATCATTTAAAGTTAGCTACTGACGTAGCAGGCAGAAACATACATTATGATGAAAAGGAAGCTTCGGTATAAAAAGGCGTTTGGGCAAAAAAGTAGAAAAAGAACAACATTTATTTAAAAGAATGGGACATGATGGTGGGTAAAACAAAATACGCGAACTAATGAATGAATATTTGCTAAAAAAATTCTTATCAGTGCTGTAAGTGTAGCTACCAGTTTGGCCGCCAATGTTGATTTCATTCCTTTAAGTCGCACGCTCAATCCTTTTTTGGCCGCACTTTTTTTTTCACACCTAAGGTGTTTTTGATTAGATAGCATGACTTTTTGTCAATACACACCAACAAACCATAGCAAGTAAGAATCTGATAATCGATAGTAAACAACATTAGCTATAGGATTGCAACCATTTTATTCGGAATAGATCTATACTTTACAGAACCAACCAGAGTTATTAAAATATATGGTAGTAGTTTTTATTCTCTAAAACTGTGTTAATAAGTTCCCTTATAGTAACGCCGTGGAATCTAGATTTATAGTTTCTTGTCATCACCCGCAGGCACTCAGTATAGTCGTATCAAGCATCATTATTTGGGCTAATTGCCTAAGATAATATCACGTGATGCTAAACGCTCTTTAATTATGGAAATTTCATAAAATATAACAAAGTTGTGCTTAAAAGTTGGAAATGAATAATGAATAATAACCGTTCACTAGTATGATTCTTTTGAAAACTTGAGCTAGAAATTAATAACCTAGTTTGCTTGGCATAACCAGTAGCTATGTGTCTGTACGTTCTTTCAACATATACTGTTGTTGCTTTAAATCAGCGGTCTCGGAATGACAAAAAAGTAAAAACCGTCCACTTTTACTCTTAAGTGAAGCTGTAGTAAACATTTTAGACTGATAGCTCACGTGACTTTTTGTGTAGGCGTACGCAAAAAGTTTGGTCAAATGTGAACGATTTTTGTTTAATGACTTTGCACATGTGGCTTATATTTACACCAAATGAAACTCATAATTGAAGGTTGAAAAGATTTACAAGTGTACCAAATTTCAAAAAATAATAAAAGTTAAGTTGTTTTTCTCTCAAATAAAATTTCCGTTTTGCTTGGTCTAACCAATACTTATGTATCTGCACGTCCTTTCACCCAATAGTTTTCTGCTCTGAATCAGTCGCCTTTAATACGAATGCCAAAAAAACAACACTAAAAATGGTCCACTTTAACTCTTAGACGAACCTGTAATAAGAATATCAGACTGATAGCTTTCGTGACTTTTTGCTTACGGTGTGTAAAAAATTTTGGTCATATTTGAGCAGTTTTTGTTGAATAACCTTGCACGTGTGGCTTATACTTAGACCATATTTGACACCTAATTGTAGATTGTAAAGTTATATCTGCGTACCCAATTTGAAAAAAATCCATAAAAAATTAAGTATGTTTTTATATCAAATACAGTTTTATACTTTCGATGCGAATAGGAAAAATTTCAACCAAAATTGGAGATTTTATATCTCGTGTATTTTTTAATAGACCGCTTTGAAATTTGATATGTGAAGTAAGGAGCACATCCTCTGAAAATATGTGATAGTTTGGATTACCAAAATCTGAATAACAGAAGGTTGAAAATCGCTAAACTATTACTCCTGTTAATATAACAGTGTGTTCTGCAAGTTGTTTTGGCTGCGCGACACACTTCTGTGTGTGTCTTGATATACAAGAGAAATGTAGGCCTCATATTGATGCTTCGTTGTTTAATATTCTACAAATTTCTATTTAACAAATTGTTAAAATATAATACCAAATTCTAATGTTTCTGTTGCTTATTTTAAATTTCATTTTCAATAAACGACCTTTACTACTTATGTCATTAAGATTCTAGTAAACATTAGAAACAGTTGAAAAAGTGTTTCGTTTAAGAAACTGTCAAATGTTACCTATTAATTTTAATAATTCATGTTTTAATGTTTAAATACGAAGTCAAGTTTGTTACTATCCAACCCCACACGTTTTGATTATCATATCTTCAAAGTTATTTCTTAATAACTTCGCATTTTCTATAGTTTTAAAATCATAAGGTGCAAAAATGTAGGTGTAGATCTAGTTTCTTTTTATCTTTTCGATGTACGAAAGTTTTGCTTCAATACTTTAAAATATACACTGTTTAGAAATTCCAAAAACCATTTTAAATCTTAGGAGTTTTGAACAACAAGGAACGTTCTTGTATCTTTTATTGATCTGTACAGAATAAGTGTTAATAAAATGTATTGAAAATATACAGTTATAATAAAAAGTTATAGTGTTTTGGTTCTTTATTAACTCTTTCCTGATATTCGAACTTACTTTACGATCACAAGATCGTATATCATCCATCCATTAAAATCACACAACTACATTCTCCAATGGAATTACTACACTGTGCCAACCGCAGCAATCAACCTTTAATATTCCAGTTCAGCGACGGTGAATCCATGTTGATAAGGGTATTAGCATTGTTGTAATAATGTTTGTTCTTGTTATAGCATCGTTTTACGAGAAAAGATTTAGGATTTCGATTTGTTTAACCCTGAGCACATTGTGAAAGATATAAAATCAAGTCAACAAGGGAAAATGTTTAAAGTGTATCTATATATATCGCAAATAAACAAATATAAAATATATTTTCAGTTAACTTTCTAAGCACTGATTATGGAAGTGTAATAAAAGTTATTCTGCTGTTTATATTTCGACAGAAAAATATTATTTTTATGTGTAGGGAATCAGAGAGGCTGTTTAGACAAAATGGAAGAAAATATGAAAGCGTGTGTTACCATCTTGTGAAAAGATGGTTTAGTAAGATTTTACAAAATGGTGTCTGAATGGGTAAATTCAATGGACAAAAGGTATGGAATTGTTAACATTTTTATTGCTAAAAGAGAATGAAATATCCATATTTTTAAACGTTAGTCACTACAGTTGAAATCCGATAAGCAATAAAACAATTATATCTAAAACCAGAAATTTCAGTAATGGACGGCCTGAGCCTTAGGTAAAGTGAATTGATATGTTGATTAATGAAGCGTATATCTGGAAAGCTTTTACCAATTGCATTACTCCACATTATTAATGACGATAAAAAATTAGGGTATAGAGATATCTTGAGTAGAATCACAATAAAAGTGTTAAATGAACTAAGGGCAAAATAAATGCAGTTGTTTAAATATACCTATCATATATTTTAATTAGTTTATAAGGTATTATGCACGATATACTGCTTTTTTTTAGGATGCGTATATTGAGTTACAAGGGGTGTTCAGAAAGATACGAGTTTTAATTCTAACTTCGCTAACCATGGCAAGTTACACAAATAACTATATAGCAATGGTATTGACAATGTAGGCAACTAGACAATTATTCTTAACATACTCCCCGTTCAGTAGGAATAATTTCGTGAATAACTTCATGATGTTAGTTTGGTAAATCGCTGTTATGCCATTGCGAATCCTATTGTGAAAAGATGTACTAAGACCACTGCTTCTGCATGGAAATATTGCCTATGTAGACAGTCTTTGGCAGTATAAACAAGCTGCAAGTCACAAGGTGATATATTTAGATCATGCACAGAATGGATGATAAATATCCATCCGAACTTCTCGTTACACTTATCATAAGACAAGCAACATGAAACCTGACAATATCATGTTTCAACAGAACATTTCTCACCAGATAGACATTGATATATTACAAGAATGGATGCCGGCCGTAATTTATTGTTATCTAATGTATGGGAAAGAAAACTATTTTTATTTCATGACAGCCCTCGTAGTTATAAGTTTCGTCTTTTGTTCGTTATTGATATGACTAACTTGATAAGCTACTGTAATTGATCGTTTGTGAAAATTCTGGATTATCTCAAACGAGGTTAACTGTTTTTGTGGAAGACACGTTTATCATTTCGCGATTAAATGGATTAACTAAGGGAAAGTCGTATGAGATGCCCTATGTCTTTAATTTCATAACCAAACCGTTATAAAACACTGGTAATCAGTCAGTAAAGTGCAAGAAGCGTGACTAAGAAATTAATTTAAGTTTGCTACTTTTATAAGGTTCTGTGATAATTCTTATTGTTAAAAATATTAAGCTTCATAAAGACTACATTTATCTTGTAGCTTACATATTCAAGTTAATGTGAAGAAGATAGTATATTTTCAACAAGAATGCTGTTTATATTAAAGTAGGGACTATAAGTTACTTACTTATTGTTGCCGTTGACAGTCTTGCAGCCATGTGACAGAGTGAGGCATCTTTTAAGCACTTTTTGGAGCGATGCTCCTGTACAGATAAGAGTAAGATGCCCCATGACATTAATTTATGTTTGGAAAGTAACTAATGAACACATCTTTACAATATTTTACTTCCTTCCTTCTGTTCCAAACAACGAAATCAGCCAACCACATCTCACAAATTCAAAAAGAGATACAGTTTAAGATGTTTTTCCCTACTGCTGAACGAACTCACACCCTATCTACCACATCCAGAAGTGAACAAATCAAAGCAGCACCAAGAGAAATATTAAAGAACACTTCTCCTGTCCCATCTCTTCTTATGAAAAGTCGATCAAAGAGGAAGTATATGCATTTATTATTGAAATCTCAGAAAAATATTTCTCCCAAAACAAACAAGTTGATTATAGTAAACGGCAAAATAAATATAATGCATATGAAATGAAGAAAAAAAAGGTTTCTACTGCCAACAGAAACGTGTTGGACAAACAACAACACAAAGCCAAACAAAGTCTAAAAAACTGGACTTACAAAATAGAATAAAAAATTTAGATA